TTCCTACTCCTTTCTATGCAATACTCACATCTCACCACCATATGAAATGCAACATGTATCAACATACAAACAAACATTACACTACAAAAAAATGATAAATAGTGGAGGTTATTTTGCGGAGGTTTTAAAAACTTCTTGAAGTTATTAAAGTAGGTGAAAACATTACAATTTTTTTTATTTTATTTATGGAGGTTTATAACCTCTTCTAATTAAATAATATTGTCCATCTTAAATCCCAATTTTTTTTAAAATAAAATTTTTTTCCCCTAACACTACCCGCGTGCCTCCCTTTTGTCTGAAGAAAAATCAGAATCCCCTTTTTCAAAGAAATGAAAAAACCCTAAACCCGTGCGTTCTTGCATTTCTCCGTCGTCATTGACAACGACTTCCCCTCCTCTGAGAATAATAGCATCGGTTTGCTCTGCGCCCTTGGCCTCTCCCACAACCACCTCCTATACGTACGTTTTTCTTTTTCATTCTCAATTTTCTAACTAACTCTCTCGCTTTCCTTTTCCCTCTATTCTCATTCTTCTCTTTGTCGTAGCGTGTTACGAGGACAAAAGGCGGAATCGACGCTTGGCTCCAATGGCTTCCCCTCTCTCTCCGTAAAAAAATTCATTATCTATTTTTCGTGTTTCGCGCCTTCTCCTCCAAATCTCACTACTTGCCTATCACTTTGCACCCTACCGGCTTGTCCGCTATTCTCGAAAAGTGAATTTATGTTCTACTTCTTTTAATTCTGATTTGATGCATTGGAAATAATGAATGTGATTGATATTTTCATTTGGTTTGGCCAGGGAGGGACCATTGTTGGTGGTTGCATCTGGAAGAGACACAATTTCCTATCTGGATTGGAATTGGTCGCAGGATGTGTATTTGCAGCAGTTGCATTCTATCTTAAGGTACTCCCCATAGCTTCTGGTTTTTCATCCTGATAATTTTGTGAAAATAGTATCCTTCTGTGAAACAGGTTCACGAGGTGGGTGGTGCAGCAGTCCCAACACTTACTGTAACAGGCATACTAGTATGATGACCATTGCTACAATTTCTTTATTGATGCTGTTTTCTTGGATGTGTCTCAAAATATGGAGTTTTTCTTGTTTATCTATATTGATGTTGTCTTCTTGGATGTGTAAGGTGGCCGCTAAACACTCACAATACCAGATGTTTCTAAAAAATGCCGCTAATTGCTTGCAGCGAATGTAACTGCGGAGGTTTTTAGAAACCTCTGCGATTTATTTTGCGGAGGGTAAAAACCTCCACTAAACATAAAAATAACCTCCACTGTTTAGCTCATTTATTGTAGTGTTACCTTTAGATACATACTCCTAGCCTAATGAGTTGCATGCCACAATACTTTACTTAACTAAGATGAGAAGGAAGGTGATCAGTCTTCTTCCCTCTTAGTACCAGTTCAGTATAATGATGTACAATGCATCATTTACCACATTCATGATACACATGCCTGTATAAACACCTCAAAACAATAATATCTCATCTCATACTACAAAATCACTTCTATGTCCAAACAACTAATCAAAACCACATAAATATACAACATGCACAAAGATAAGTACATTTCAAATCCACACCCCCAGAATCCAATCCAAATCCATATAAACAACATACACATACATATATACATACATATATATATACATACATACATACATATATATATGA